ATACTTGTCGTCTGCAGAAATCTTAGAAGCACCGATTAAGCCAGATGATACTATGTCTTTGCAAAAAGCGAAACATATATTTGCGCAGTGCATGGATAAAGGTACGTGTCATTACATTGCCAAAAGTAATTATATCACGAATGTATCCAATTATATAACAAAACAATTATAAAACAAAACAAAACTAAAGAGCTTATGGTCCAAGTTGAAGGTGAACGTTATATTTATTCTCTTATTTATCTGACTTTCCGGCATAGACTCTGGATACATAAACATCATACTTTGTTGGTTGGTATGTGTATGTTCTGTGTTTGTTTTGATTTGTTGTACTTGCCGGTGTACAGTGAGCGGTCTTTGTGATGATTAGTTGAGTTAAATGCGTATATATTACTTTAAAATATTTTTGTGTAATGCATGTTCTTTTCATCTTACGAATTTTTATATGTTTACAAATTTATAAATTTTATATTATTATAATTTTCATATTATTATTATATAATTTTTATATTATTTTTCTATAAACAGTGCTGAAGATGATCCACAACAAAAAGTGATCAAAACGTGTAAAATACACTGCGATTTATGTTTTATTTACAAGTTGATCGTCAAGTTGGACCATAAGGTCCTGGGTTGTTCTCATTTTATAATTGTTTTTAATTTAGAAACTTAAAATATGTAAAATAAATAAAATAAAAAAAAGCAATTATTATTTTTTAAAAGACAGTGAAACAGTCGTTGAGAGTAATTTGAGCGACATTGTAAATAGCTTTGGTGGATGGCCAATAGTTATGTCTCTTCACGAATGGAATATAAAAAATTTGACGTGGCAAAATATTAGCACTATTTTGCACAAAAATACATTTCAAAACGGCATTTACCCAATAAGCGTGTCTATAAATAGAAAGATGACCAACAGTAACGTTATCTTTGTACGTATAGTATATTCAAACACACTACATTATAAAGTATATTTAAAATTTTAGTACTAAATCGTGTAAGTTTCAATCGGGCAAGACATTAAAAAAGGTAGCAAAATTGAGTCGCAACCACACGTGGTAAACAGATTATCATTCGGAAAAAATAACTTAATAAAAATGTTATGTGATTTTAGATTTTAGAACCGAACCTTTCTTTGACTCGAGACGAAACAATTCAGTTAAACACTACTCAGACGCTGAAAGACGACTTAATATCCCAAATTGTTAGCGTTGCGAAAAATCTTATAAAAGAAACTAATAGAACCGAAATGAACAATTTTACTCAAGATGCACTTGATATAATACACTTTGAAATGGAACTGGCTAACGTTAG